TTTGGACTACAAATCCCTGAATCCCACCCAAGCCATTGTGGCCAGTGGCTATGTTAGCTGGGGGATTCTGGAAGTTGTTATCCAAAATGAGAGAGTGATTTTTCTAAGCCTCTCCTTTCTCCACCCGCAGATGAGGTGTGCAGAAATCAAGGGTGGCTGAGCTTGTGGGGTTTTCTGCCTCCTATTCTGAGAAACCTAGCTGGCTTTGGGTGCTGCACCGGAGTATTCGGCAACTCCTTTTTTGACCTAGGCTGGACAGGACCCTGGAAACCACAGAGACAGAAACAGAAGCACCATCTGAACCAGCCACTCCAATTTTAAGAGAAATCCATTCCAGGTTTTGCTCTCTACTTTACTGGAATTACCCAAGAAGTTGAACCTTCAACCTGGGGGAAATGGCTCAGTTTCTTGGACAGCTCTTGTTATGTGTAAGCTAAAACCCGGAATGGATTTGCCACATCCTCCAAAATCAGGAGTCGCCAGGCTGCACTGGCTTGAGCCACGTATGAGCCACACTGCAAAGAACTCTTACTTTGGTCTTTTCTCTCTCTCATACTCACCCCTTCATCGACATTCATCCAGGATCCCGGCGAAAAACAGTGGCATGCAGGTGTCCTGCTTGGATGTGAGTACCTGTGTTTGACATCAGCCATCTCAACCAAGCTGCATCCTTCCACCTCCAGCAGTAGCAAGAAGGCAGCCTAATGCCACTGGCTATTGCTGGAGGACCAAGAGTACCAAGATAAATACGATAGCTGTTCTGCTTTGGCTACTGGCAAAAACAACATGGGAGAACGATTCGGACTTCTGGTAGACGAGTGTCCCTGGCTCGTGGCTGCATTCGTCTTGAAACAGGTCACTGGCTCCTTGCCCTGATCTATGAGTTGTTCCACGGAGGTTCCTCGCCTTCGTCTTGAGCGTCGGCATTCCATTTCAACGCCTCCCTCTTCTCTCACGGACACCCACAGCTAGGGATGGGCACGAATCAGAAAAACGAGGAATCGGAGTGGTTTGCTCTCTGTGGCTGTCCACGAACCACAAACTACCTTCTGAATCCCAGGAAAACGTGACTGGCTTGTGGTTCATTTTTCCAGTTCGGAAAAGAATGCAGAGGGTGCTTCTTAAAATCTCTTTAAAATCCAGGACTGAATCACTTGCGCAGCAAACCGATTCAGTGGCACTTATAAATACATCCACCCCTCCCCCCAAATAAAGGGAATTTTCCATCCTTTGCCCACTGAGGGAGAGAGACAGGAGAAGACACAGAGGGAGATATTTCATGTCGAGTTTTTTTTTTCTTCCTTTCATTGGATAGTTCAGGGGTTGAGGCTCTGGACACAGAGCCATAGGCTGGGAGTTTGATTCCCCACTCAGACTCCTTGAGAAGGGCTGGACTGGATGACCCCGAGGGTCCCTTCCAGCTCTGCAGTTCTGGGATTATTATTATAGAGATGAACAGACCGGACAGAATTGCTTGAGGAGCAGAATGGTTTCCTAATCCTGAAGCCACCCAGCCCTTGCGTATGGAGGCAAGGTTTTCTCCGAACGGCTTACCATATCTCAAAGTGAGCCATAATTTGGCTGTCTAGACGCACCCTGAGCCTTGCCCAAAGACGGGCACCCCTTTTCAGGCAGCCTGGCTGTAACGGCAATATATGGGCATCCTTCCACTAACATACATACCCCGGAGTCCTCTTGCCATGATCCAGATGCTCTCTTGACTCGGTTTTAAAGGCATGGAGGACTGACCGGGCCATCCCCATGCTGGGATTCTTTGCTTCTAATTAAAAGCTAATTAACTCTTCTCCCTCTTTCCCTATCTGGAGCGTGCTCTGTGTTTTTTTCCTGGGGGAAGGAGAGCTTGAATGACATTCATTTTGATTGCCCATCCCGGGTGGGGGAACAGAAGGGGGGGCTCTGCCAAGGGAATTCTCTCTCTCTCTCCCTCCCCGATCCCCAGTTGGGCTCTTCCAGTCTCATCCCTCGCCTCCCCACCACAGTCGGGACACAAGAGGGTGGCAGGAAAACAACACTTGTCTACGCTGTCCCCAGGAAGGGCTCCAGATAGTAGCAGACGGAGAGCCTGTGTCCGCCCGGGGCCTCTTGCACCCAATCCAGCTGTTTGGCTCTGTTCATCATCAGGGGATGCCAGCCCGTCACGGGAACCCGGTAAGGGCGTCACTGGGAGTGGCAAGCTGATGCCAACCAGCCAGCTCCGGTGCTCCAGACATCATGGGGGGGATGTGGCCGGGACATGCTTGCCGGGGCAGCTGCGAGGTGGGGGTCCTCAGATAGATTACAATGGAGAAATGCCTTCTTCCTGTATCTGGAAAGGGTGGGGTTGCCACAGGGTGGTCCTTACCTGGTAAGATCAGGGGAAGCGTTGAGCTGAGCAGCATGGCAGCATCAGAACGGAGAAACAGTCTTGTTTGCGGTAACCGTTACTATTGTCTGGAAAAGGGACTTGTCGGCTGAAAGAGCCGATGTTCCCTTTAGACATCTCCCACGTCCAGGTCAGGTTGGTATGGTTTGTGGCTTCTCCCTTCATCTTTTTCCTGGAGTCAGCTGGGTGCAGGATCTCAGCAAACCCATACGCTTTGGTATTGGGGTGATATGTGGAAAGGATTATGATCACCTTGCATGCATAACCTGATGGCCCACCTCCATGTGATGTGGGACTTCCATCCATGTATCTCCAAATATTTGGCTTGGCACCACCAGGGCGTTTGGCGGCAAAGATTCCTTCCGTGTTCTTTTCTCAATTGTCATTCTTGTGTGCCTAAAGTTGCTATAAAATATCAGGGGGGCAGACAGACATCCCTGTTTTTTGCCTCGCTTTTCTCCTACCGTAGCTCATAACAGTCGTACGAGGAAGCGATTTAATCCCAAAAATAGACCCATATTAGCCTGGAGACAATGTATATTCCCCCTGCCACCCTTTCCTTGTAGAGGGTTTCTTTCTGAAGCACACATTTTATTCCCTGATTTCATGTTCCCCATGTAGTTTCGCTCTTCAAAAATCATCATATTTAAGTGCACGGTGAGATGTTATTCAAAACAAAACAGCTGCATGAAATAATGTATAAATAAAATGGTGGGGGGGTGGAAATGTCAACGTGACAAAGAGAGGTGATACCTGTTTGGGCGCACGGGCAAATAATTGTATCAATGTGCCATCAAGACCAAATGAATTATGTTCCACTTGGAATTATGCTCCCTTCGAGATTCGCAGAGAAAAACTTGGGAAATTTGTGAACAACCCAAGATAGTTGTTACACGCCATCAAGTCGCTTCCAGCTTAAGTCGACCCAGTGAACTACCGACCTCGAAAGGGTCCCGTCATTGACAGCACTGCTTACGTTGTGCAAACACAAGGCTGTGGCTTCCTTCGCTTAGTGGATCCATCTCATGTTCAGTCTTTCTTTTCCCCTACTGCTTTCCTTTCCCCCTGGTGTTATTGTCTTTCCCAGCAAGAGTTGGCTTCTCATATATTCAACAACATCAGTTTTAGTTGTGTTTACTTCTAGAGTAAGGCTTGGTGTGATCTAGAACCCATTGGTCTGTCTTTCCACGGCACAGATAAAACTCTCGTTTTGAATGAATTTATTGGCTTTCTTTGTTGGCTGGCTTTCCCATCCATACATGACAATCAAGGAAACCATAGTATGGATGGCTTTGGCCTGGATTTCCAGAAACTAGATCCTTTTTTTCAATTAACTGTTGACCCAATAAGGAAAAGAAAATAAGACCCTTCTCCGTTTCAGTTTTACCAATTTCTTATTTTCTTATTATGCTTTTCTGGGGGTGTTTGCTTCGTATTTTCACACCACGGATAAGTGAATCAGTGGATAGCGATCCTGCGGATAGGGGGTTTCTACTGCATACAGATTGATTTTATTGATTTTCAGTTTGTTTGCTTTTTGAGAACTCATTGTGATGTTGAAAAAATGGCAGAATCAGACCACACATTTTGAACTGGGATGTGTACGTGAGGTAAATTAGCATGAAAATAGGGAACTAGGGTCCAGTCATTCAAAGGTGGGGGACACTGTGTTTCTCCAGGTGTTGTTGGAATACCAATCTCAGCGGCCCCAACCAGGTTAATCAAGAAGGAAATGGCCATGTGCCCGTATCCAGAAGGCCACACATTGCCATCTCTATAGTAATCAGTCTACTGTCCAAGCCTATATGATATGAATTCACTGGAGGATCCTGAAATTCACATATGCATGTGTATCTAGGGATGGGATTTTTGGAGTTTCTGGACTACGAATACCATAATTCTCCATTCTGTGAGTTCTACCTATCCTATAGACCAGTGGTTCCCAACCTTGGGCCTCCAGATGTTCTTGGACTACAGCTCCCAGAAGCCTTCACCACCACCTCTGCTGGCCAGGATTTCTGGGAGTTGAAGTCCAAGAACATTTGGAGGCCCAAGGTTGGGGACCGCTGCTATAGACACCTTAGAAACACCTAAATGTGATGCGTGGGGGAGAAAGGGCTAAACAGGGAAGCTTAGAGACTTAGCTAGGCCTAACTCCACCCGTGTTTCCTTTTCCTGTCCCAGTGCCAGCTGGGAGCTTCCTTTCAGAGCAGGAAGCTAGGCCTAGCTAAGCCTCAGAGGCCTTGCAGTTTAGGCCTTTCTCCCAGGTGAGCCACATTTCAATGTTTGTAAGCTGTCTGCAAGGGAGATAGGACTCCAAGAATGGACGCTTATGGTATCTGTGTTCCAGAAGGTTCAGCCCTATGTATAGCTGCCTCAAGATAGCAGTAAGTGGGAGATGGCAGCCAGGTGTTTAAGGAAACAGCCATAAGTCTCCAGGCCACTCCAACTCATCTGTAGACTTCAGATAGGGCAGAGGCGGCTCTCCCACTGCCAGGCGTTGAAGAAGAAGCCAAGTGCTGATCTCCTTCACTTTTGCACATGGAAAAGAACAGGGTGCCCTCGTCTCCTTCACCCCAGGGACCCAGCCTTGACACAACATCTCTCCCTACTTCAGGTGCCACAAGATGACTGGGGAGGATACCCAGCCTCCGGGAAAGATGGGGAGATCCCCTGCCGGCGGATGCGGAGTGGCAGCTACATCAAAGCCATGGGAGACGACGACAGCGGGGAGTCCGATGCCAGCACCAAGGTGTCTCCGAAGGGAGTGACTCGACGAGATGCGTACCGCCGCTCCTCCAGTGTAGATCAGCCCAGGACCAAGTAAGGAATGGAAGAAGAGAGCTAACTTTCCCCAGATATTCCTCAAGGAAAAGGCTTCATGGGGGGGGGGGGAACATGAGCTGCCTCTCTTTTTTTAGCAAAATGGGTGGTGGTCTATAAGCAGAGGGTTGACATGCCTTCGTCAACCTTGATTGGGAGCCCACAGAGTAGAAGAAGGTTTAGCAAAGCAGATGACATGTAAGTGGAGCTGACAGACCTTGGAGAACTCCAAGCAAGGAAATTGTTCCACTGAGCTCCAAAGAACGACCGAGACCTCGTGTCCCCATGGAGCTGAACTAGTCCCTTCTCAGCCTCTGCCCTCTTCACAAAGAGGGAAGACTCTTAATTGTCAATTCGAAAACCAGAGGTTTTTGCAGAAAGAGAGAGCAGTGAAGTTAAATTTCAAAGCCAAAGTAACAAGTGCAAGCAAAGTTACTCTACTAGGGTAACGAATCACATTTTCTAGCTGCCTTTATTTCACAGGGCATTTTCAGGCTTTCTAGTGGCTTTCTGACAGCAATTTGTTGGCCCAAATCTTCTTGTGCATTTATGCCAGCGGAAGGGAAATAGGATACCTCATTGTGGCAAATTGCCACTAATGAATGAGTCCCTTCTTGCGTACTTGCTCACTCCTCAAGCTGCCCAACTGCTGTGCAACAAGGAATCCAAGCAGGGACCCATTCATTAGTGGCAAACCGTACCTGCAAGTTTGTCATTGCCCTTCATAACTACGCAGGAGTTACAGGATGGGATTACTTTTCAGAAAGAATTTTCCGAGCTCTGCTTATATGACTTAACGATCTGTCCCTTTGCCGTCAGTTGCCATTTCCGCCATGCCTATATTGGGAAATATTACAGCAAGGTCTTGATTCAACCCAGGCATGCCTGCCCCACCATCCTCCCTGGTCCAGATGGCTCCCTTCCCTTTATGTCAGAATGCAGCCACCTGATCAGGATCAAGGCCATGAGAGGTGATGAGGAATTTAGCAGTGGCATACTTGCTGGGGTATTCTTCTGTGACTTGTAGTCCAAACAAAAAAGTAACTTTTCACATATCCAGCACAAGTCCACTTTATGCAGGGGTGCTGATAGTCATAAATATGACATCTTTTATTTCATTGACATAGTGATTTGAGTAGCAAATGATTAGACATATTGGGCAGAAGTAGAGATAGTGGAAAACTAATTTTCTGAGTTTTAAGCAAGTAGCCTACGAAAGCTTTGAAGCTTGTAGGGCAATGATTCCCAAACTTGGCTCCACATACATTCTTGGACAGCAGTTCCCAGAAGCCTTCAGCTCTAGCTGTGCTGGCAAGGGTGTCTGGGAGTTGTAGTCCAAGAATGTCTGGGAACCCAAGGTTGGGAACCACGGTCATAGGGGAAAGCATGTCATAATACAATATTCCTGAGATCACACTAGAACCCAACCAAAGCTGAATGGGGGTTGATTTGCGACAGAAAAGAAATAAGTACTTCTTGACACAGGTTATAGCTGAACTACTGAATTTGCTCTGAGATGCCCCCCAGATTGGATGGCTTGCCTCAGAGGATTAAGCAAATTCATGCAGGATACGTCAAGAAATAGCTGCTGGTCACAATGGCCATGTATTTCTCTGACTATCGGAGGATGCGTGCTCTCCCTACTCCAGTCACTGGGGAGCAGAAATGTGAGAGTATTGCAGCAGTCACGTCCTGCTTGAGAAATCCCCAGAGGTGTCTGGTTGACCCTAGAAGGAGAGTAGGGTGGGCTAAATGGATCTTTGATCTGCTCCCACAAAGTTCTTCCTCATGGAGAGATCCTTACCAGCATTCCTCGTCATGGCTCTCCACGACCTGCTTGGTTGGAGAAAATATTGGTTGTAAGCCACCTTCTGAGGAACGCAAAGCAGGAGGTTGTAGGTCTTCTCTTGGGCTGCTGCTGATGGTTGGCCATTGTGGGAACAGAACTTTGGACATGTGGGCCTTTGGTTCCACATCGCTCGCGCTTATGTTCTTAAAGACCAAGCCAGCCCACCCAGAATCATTTCCATGTGTTCTGCTCATCTCATGCTTTGGGTTTTGTTCAGAAACCTTTCTTCCCCGTGTCTCTCATTAGGTTTGCAAGTAGACACTATTCTGACTCATATATCTGTAACTGTCCCAGCTGCTGCACGTCACCCCGAATCCGGCCACGGGGACAAGGGTATGGACGTTCCTTCACCACTGGGCAGGTGAGGTGTTTTGGTTTTCAACTGCTGGGTTGCAGAAGGGTGCGTAGATGAAGGAAGTGGGGGAGAAATGACACCACCGAGTGGGTGCTTTCCAGCATCTTTCCCCTCCCCCTCCTCAGAATTTGGAAAAGTTACTTTTTATAAAATACTCCTTCCCAAACCCCATCGCAACCATCATGCCACTCTAATTTGGGGCATTCTGGAAGTCGTCATCCAAAAAATTAACTTTTCCACTTTCTGATATATTTCCCCCCCTCACCATTGCAAAAGCAAAAAAAAGGGGGGGACAGTGCTTTTTCTATTTGGGGGCATTTATGTACATGACTTTATCTCAAAAATTGTGTGATTTAATGAAAGAGTTGCATGCTTGCACTCGAGAGGAAAGGCTGCAGTTTGTCCTCCATTCCTCCAGGGGGTACTCTACTAAGAAATGCCCCAAACAAGAAAAAACTATGATCCCCTTCTCCTTTACGGTGCTATGGGAATGGCTACTGATGCTTTCTGATGCTGGCACTATAGAACTAAGAAAATAGTAGAGTGATATGCAGCCTTCATTTCTGCAACTAAATTAAAAACGCATATTTGGGTACAGCTTGCAAATTTTACCGCTGTGGACTGCAGGCCAGCAATCCCCCAGAAAGTACAAGCTACTGGCCATGTTAACTGGAGGATTCTGGGACTTGCAGTCCAAAAAAAATGGAGTTTTTCCATGCTCTGTATTTTGAGTCTGTAGAACTATGATAGGATGAAGGCTCTCCATGGAAAAGAGAGTCTTACAACATGATGCTAATGCCAAGAAAGAATCCTAGACCATATGCACTTTTCTGTGGTACAAGCTTCTGTGGCTGGCTTTGGTTACTGCTCAAAACGGCCAGATGCAACTGGATGCCAGCAATGTCAATCACCCTGCATTGGGGGAGAGCTTCTTGGCTGCTACTCTTTGTCCTGGTGCATGGCCACTCATGTGTGGGTTATTCTTGCCTTGCCCGTCTCTTGCTTTTTCTCATGCCTGCGTGTTTGCTGCTGCTACACCAAGCTGCTAAATCTCATCCAGATCGCTCATGTGCACCACCTGGTTACTGCAGGCTAGCGCTGGAATGGAAGAGACTCCAGAAGTTAAAAAAAATGTAGAAGTCCCCAGAAATGGACTTCAGAAGTCTCACTATAGAGCATCAAACGTTGGGTACATTCATTTGGAATATAGCATTCCTTTGAAATCCACAAAAAGAGAAACTTACTCAAACTCTGTTGATGGTTCGTCTGTGTTTCCTGCTTCGTGGCAAAGAGCAGGGTTGCAACATGTAAAGTTACCAGACCAAGGCTAATTTATTGGGATCTGCTTTGCGTATCCTTCTTTCTCTTACTCCCCTTGCACACTGATGTGAGGTGCACCAAAGGTTTGTACAGAGAACCCATTAGTGAAGTGGACGCTAGTGGCTACAAGGTCTACAGGCCAAATAATCCACTCCACATTTTAGTCTGAACAATACAGGAGCTATACAAGACACTGACCCTCCTTGGGAGATAGGATTCAGCACCATGGAAAGTTCTTGTCAAGTTTGAACTAAATCGAATGTACCACCCCTCTGACCTCACAGCCACCAGTTTCTACCTTTCCAGTGTTTCTTGACTAAGCACCCCTTCAGTTTAAAGGAAAGGTAGCACTTAGGCATAGATTGGCTTGATTTATAAACCACTACCTCCACTACAGTCTTCTTCAAGACTGGGAGTCAAGTCAACTTTGAACAAAATACATCCAATATGAAACCTGCCAGCAATAAAAGCATACCAAATTGTAACACAGTAGGAAAACCCACCAATGAAAGGAAAAGAGGACAAAACCTCTCCCTGTAACCAGTGGATATGTTGCCAACACCCTATTTGAATTAAAGGGTCTTTGCCTGCAGGATGACAACTGGGAATAAGCCAGGCTAGCCTTCATGGGGAGAGAGTTTTGGATCCTGAAAACAGTTACTTAAGTCTGTATTTAAATTCATTTACATGCCCCCAGAAGGATGTTAAGATGAAAAGAAAGATTTTTCTGAAAGACTGCCAAGCAATTTGGGTCTCTTAAGAGCCTGAACCCAAGTCATGAAAAGTTGTTCATGACAATGTTATTAGAACAGATAACACAAAAGACCAAGGCTTTTTCAAAATCCTTAATCAGTTTCTGAGTCATACTACAAGACATAGTGATCGCCACTTGATTAGCTGGGTTTTTCAAAAAGAAATTAGACATATTTATCCATTTCATCAATGTATAAGAGCCCAGTGACACTTAAATATATGTTAAATAGTATGTTTAAATGGATTTTCTATTTAAAAAAATCTTATTGAAATATGGAAAGAAGCGTGGTATGATGTATGACATAATGAAACAAAAGAATAGTTTATTATATGGAACCCAGAAATTTAACTCAATGCTCTTAAGTCCCCCTGAAGCAGGCTTAGGTTAGCTGTAATTGACTTATCACATTAATTGCAGTGAGATCTAAATGCAACTAACTTAGTCTGAATTGACATTGTCGCAAAGGGCATCTTATTTCTTGTTTGCTTTTCTAAAGGCTGAATAAGAGAAGCACGTCCCAACCCAAATTTTAACAGCACAACGCCTCCAAGCGAATAATCAGCTCAACAGTTAACACGTGTTGGGTCAACAGATGTGCTATTCCACCAATGCACCTAGAAACACATGGAATGTGCTCCTCACTGAGCTGAGAGTGGCACATCTCCTGCATCAATGTATTCTTGACCGTCAACCTGGATACGTTGCCTTGGAATATCTAAAAAATTATCCCCACCCTCGCTACCCGAGCCTCTTCCCAATTTCGCGCACTCTTCACCCCTCTGTTGTCCCTCTCCTTTCCGCCAGATCAACGATGAGTTAAACCACCAGTTCGAAGCCGTGTGCGAATCCGTTTTTGGAGAGGTCGAATCGCAAGCGGTGGAAGCCTTGGACCTCCCCGGTTGCTTCCGCATGCGCAGCCATAGCTACCTAAGGGCCATCCAGGCTGGCTGCTCCCAGGATGATGACTGCCTCTCTCTCTTCACCATGGCCACCACCACCCACCAGCCTGGGCAGCCCCTCACCAGCAGCATCCTCAAGCCAAGCACCTGTAAGTACCCACATGGAATCAAAGATGGGAAAGGGGGTCTGAATGTAGGGGGACAAGCCAAACTAGTTAGAGTATTTTCAGGGTTGTGGCCCAAAAAGGTACCGTATTTTTTGCTCTATAAGATGCACTTTCCCCCACAAAACAGGGGGGTAGAAAGTCTGTGTGTCTTATGGAGCGAATAAAACAGATTATTTTTCCCTGTTTTCTTCTCCTAAAAATCTGGTGCGTCTTATGGAGTGAAAAATACGGTAAGCTCTGGGACACCGTGTGTTGTTTCACCGTGTGCAACATTACAGGTCTAGTCCAATAGGTCCTTAGGAGAGCATAGACTAGCTTTTTAATTGATACCTTCCACCTCTGCTCCCTTCTCCTTTCTTCTCTCCCGATCTCCACGCAGCCTTTACTTACAGGAAAGCTCCGCCTCCGCTCCCTTCAGGAATCAAAGCCAAGCCCCTCATTTCGGTGACCACACAAAGCAGCAGCGAGTCCGCCCACGACAGCTTCCTGCCCAGAGAGGTCAACAGGAGCCCCTCGTGGTCCAAAGAAGCCACCAAGCGCTGCAATTCCACGGAGAGTTTAGAAAGCAGCAAGGTCACTGCCATGTCTTTGGACTTGCCTTCCATCCAGCCCAGGACTGCCCCCAAACCTTCCACTCTCATCATCAGGACAATTGCAGGAAGGGAAGAGCTGAGGAGTTTGGCTCGGCAAAGGAAATGGCGGCCTTCCATCGGCGTTCAGGTAGGTTCAGAGCAAGGGAGGTGAAGAGCACGCCATCAAGCGCACGACCGGGGACGCATTCGCGTGTGGCAAAGTGGCCGCCAAGTCTCTCAGACTGTGCCAAGGCACTACATAAGTTACAAAATCATGGTGGTCATCATCATCTCATCACTGCTTCTTGTAAAGGGCCGGTTGAGAAACTGACTGCAGCTAAAGATGCCACCGTGGATTCGACGGCAGGCAGTTTCTAAACTGGCCCTTTCCATGCCAAGTAAAGAGTTTTTTTAAAAAAAAGTTATATAATGGCCTTTTGTCCAGGTGAGCCACCTTTAAAGATCTGTAGGTGTGGCCTGTCAAGTGGAACTCCCAGAATGGGGAATGGTGGGGTTTGTAGTCCAAAACATGTGAAAACTCTCTGCCCAGCGCCCGCTTGCTTTATTGATGGCAAAGGCTAATGGCTCGGATCAGAATCTCTTCTGTTCCAGAATTTGGGGACTTGGGGAAAGAGATGAGTTTGTGGGAGGTGGAGGGGCACTCCCATGTGCCACCTAGGTCAGATTGGCACTGCCCTTATTCCACGGCAGGCTGGCGTTCTCCTGCCTTGTTCTAAGCTGTTCCAGCTCTCATGTTGATTCTTTCTACTCTGGCCCTAGAAAAAAGGTGGGTTTCCAAAGCTGACAACCATTCTGTCCTTCGAAGAAGGGAGTATAGCATGACAGCGTTTTTCTCGGCTAAGGCTGGCAAAGGAAAAAAGCCTGAAAGGTTAAATGAAAGTCAAATTTACCTTGAAGTGGAAAAAAACCACATGGTTTTGTGAGATGTTTTTGCATTTACAGCAAGCAATGCTTCTATGTCTTCTGGAGGTAGAAGGGACGGACATGGTTAACAGGTTGTCAGTTCTTGCTTTGTGGCTCAGTTTTAATTTTATTAGCCTCCAAGATCTGCATTTCCTCTGCTTGCGGTTCGTTTTGGTGCTTCGTTAGCAGGCCTGTCCCTTGTCGGTTAGCATCAGCACAGGTGTTGCAGAGAGAGGTGAAATGAAGTTCAGACAAGTGTATCAGGACGGTTCAGCCGAAGGGGCAAGCTGGTGGAAAAGAAATGTCTGATCCAACTTCATGGTGCACAGTTGCTTCTCTGACAAGGTCAAAAATGCAGAAAAACGGAGGGGAGGGAGGGCTCCAGCTCTTAACGAACCACTTCAAGCTGATGCAAAATGAGTTGATTAAGTCTCAGCAGCCATTTCTCAAAGCTGAAGCCCAAAGACGTCATGTTACAAAGAAGAAACAGGTATTCCGGAGAGTTTGAAAAACTGTGTTCATTATATTGGGCTCCAGACTTCACTGAGGGCTCATCATATGCAGTTTGTGAACAAGAGCTTGTCCACACTGGCATATACCCTGTTTCCCTGAAAATAAGTCCTAGTATGATTTTCAGGGTGTTCATAATATAAGCCTTACCCCAAAAATAAGCCCTAGTTAAGTGAAACTCCGCCCTCCACCCTTGTGCAGTAACCAGAAGATGATGGCATGACTCTATTTGAATAAATGCAGATGGTTGTACATGGGAAAAAAAATCCCCTGAAAATAAGCCCTAATGCCTTTTTTGGAGCAAACATTAATATAAGACCCTGTCTTATTTTCGGGGAAACACGGTGGATATAATATATGGATCGCTAAGGGCACTGTTTGGATTGGGGGGAAGATCTCATCTACAAGTATTTCTCCTTAGAACGATCCATCCTTCCCCCATTAAGAGCTGTCCCTCACCTTTCTGGCCCAGCGGTAGGGCATGCATTCTTTTTGGAATGCTCATTGCTTAGTCTGTTTAGCCGGGAGAACACAGCCTCGAGCAGCGTCAGGTTCTAAACGGAAAGCGTGGGGAGAATGAGGGAAGGGATTTGGGGACCAAGGAAGGGAGAAAATGGAACGGCACCAACAGAGGGTTAATAATAAGAAGAATTTCACTTCCCCTGACCCTCAGATGATCAGGGTGCACCAACAGAGGGTTAATAATAATAAGAATTTCACTTCCCCTGGTTGTCAGCAGATGATCAGGGGAAGCGTTTAATTACTGGCTGATCAGGCTACAAGGGGCTGTTAGCGTTTAATTGCTGGCTGATCAGGCTACAAGGGGCTGTTAGCTGTGGGGATGGGAGGAGCATGTCAAATGGCACAAATCACATTTTCCACCCAGCTTCTTGGGGCATTGGAAGGACACCCTCCTTGCGAGTGTGGATGTGTTTTAACTTTGACATTCATACATCCACTTCACTTCCAGAAGTGTTGCCCTTGAACAGCACCTGACTCACCCACTTCATGGATGCTGACCACCATGGACCACCACGACTGACATTCTTGCACCTTATCTCAAGCTCCGACCGCTGCTGGTCAAAGATATCCTGATGGTCTTCTTGACCTCTTTCTTGATGTTTGATTTTTCCGTGATTCTGAATTGTGTCCGTGATTCTGAATTGTGCAACGCTGATTTTTCCCACACGTGTGTCCGTGATTCTGAATTGTGCAACGCTCTGATACGAATAAAGAATGAAAGATCTCTCAGGGAAAGAGGTTGAAAAGGGGGGAAAAAAACCAAGTTCCATAGATTTTGATCTGACACACGTGTGTCCGTGATTCTGAATTGTGCAACGCTCTGATACGAATAAAGAATGAAAGATCTCTCAGGGAAAGAGGTTGAAAAGGGAAAAAGAAAACCAAGTTCCATAGATTTTGATCTGAGTTCTGTGCTCATGGACTTTATCTGGGTTTTCTTTTGCAGCTGATGCTGGCACTTTAAAATATACACTTGTTTGGGGAAAGCACCCTCTGCTTACTTCAACCTAAAAAACATTCTCTTTGGTTTACTTTTTCCCATGTAAGTGGCATTCCTTGGTTAACCTCTCCATTCCTCTTCTTTCCTCTGTCTCTTCTGGATTCTGACGATTCCTTCTCCTTACCTGCCCCTTCTCTTCTTCCACATTGTGTGTCTGCTGCCGCGGAAACACTCCTCTTTTCCTTTCATTTATTTTTCTTTTATTCCTTTCGTTTCCTTCCCTGATCTTTTTTCATTCCTCCATTTACTCCACCTTGCTGCTCCTTGACATCCTTTTATTCTTCTGTTTCTCATCTGTTTACCTACCCACCTTTCTTTCTGCTCTCCTTGTGCGTGTGGGTGTGTTTTAACTTTGACATTCATACACCCACTTTTCTCTGCCTGACTCTCTCTTTATTTTGTTCTTGGTGCACTGTGATTGTTTTTACTCTTCTGTCTGTCCTTCCTTGGTTCTAATTTTTTTTTTTAAAAAAATGATCTCTCTCTGGTCCTGTCTGTTTTTTCCTTCTATTTATTGGTCCTTCCTTCCTTCCTTCCTTCCTTCCTTCCTTCCTTCCTTCCTTCCATATTTATTTATTTACTTATTTACTTTTTCCTTCCTTTTCTTCCTTCTTTCCTTGTCCATTTACCGAATTATCTCTCCCCCCCCACACACACACACCTCTTTTCCGTCTCCCTTCCATCCTCTCCCCCTCCCCAAAGGTGGAAACCATATCCGATTCGGACACAGAAAGCAGAAGCCGCCGAGAGTTCCACTCCATCGGGGTGCAAGTGGAAGAGGACAAAAGGTAGGGTCGGTTGAACTTCTCCTGCTTGGTCTACGTCTGACCCACCAAACCCCCCTCCCTAGCTGTTGCTTTAGCGGGTCTGTTGCCTTTCTGCCATTGTCACCGTGCCACTCCTGGCTTCCAACCCAAAATCAACATTCACAGCAGGTAGCGCAAGCCCAGAGCCATTCAACCAAGAGAGAGACTCACAGAGCCAGAGAGACATGGGCTACTGACAGCATCTGGATTGTTTATGGGTGCTTCCAGGTGAGGCTTTTGTCTCTGTGTGTTTCCTTCCAGGAATTTTGTGGGCAATCATCCTACCACACTCCTGTATATTCCAAAGCTTTAGATAAAAGTTCCCCTTTTCTTTTTCATTCCAGCTCCCAGTTTGGCCAGCAAGCAGGACCAGCACACATTTCTCACGCAATGCAAAATTTATTATCACACGATAATAGTGATGGGTTTCTAACTTGCAGCCTGGGAAAGTTCTCCTCTCTCTTTTTTTGGACTACATTTCCCATAATCCTCCAGCTACTTGGAGCATTCTGAAGGGCTGTCTTCTACAAAAGTAAACCTCTGGCATTTTCTTACTCTTAACTTGTCTTTTTTTTCTTACCACCAAAAAATTAGAGAGAGAGAAAGAGAGAGAGATGAACCAGCCACGGCAGGCTTTTTGGCTAGTGGGTGATCATAAAGCAAGACGGCCAGGAAGAAAAAGCACCCATAGACTATAAAATAATAACAGATGCCCACACGAGACCCTGCAGTGGCAGAACAGATGACAAAGAGCGATGCTCCCAAGTAAAAACCAAAGCCAACTCTCCGTTCCGAGAGTTCTAGTACCTGAAAGACAGACGCAATAATAATAATCAACATGCACTATCAAGTCAATTCTGAGCCATGGTGACCCTTTTCAGGGTTTTCCAGGTAGAAAATACTCCAAAGTGGTTTAATGCAGAAGATTTCCATTCTGCTGGGATGGTGCAGCTTGCCCAAAGCCACCCAGGCTGACTCTTCTAGGATGCACAACAGGGGAATCGAACTCCTATCCTCGGGCTCCACAGCCAGAGGCCTAAACCACAAATGCCTAAATGTGGCTCACCTGGGTGAAAGGCCTCCACTGATCAGCTGTGCACCTCAGCTAGGCCTAGATCTGTCCAAGCTTCCTGTTCCTGCCCCAGCACTAGCTGGGAGCTTCCTTTCTGCACAGGAAGCTAGAGTTTGTAGTCCAAGAAATTTGGAAAACCCACCCTGTCATTAGGTTTGAAGACAGCGTCCTCAGCACGATTCTGCACAAGTGCAGGGAAAATAAAACCCAAAGAACTTGGGGGTGGGGGGTAAGATTTCCAGCCGGGAGCATTTTACTCCGGCCATTGATGTATGTGGTGGAAACAAGGGTTCAAAAAGTGCAGGCAACCTCAGATGAAAGCAGTAACAGATATAGAATGAGATTTCTGAAAGTCAAGAAGGAAAGCATCCTGCCTGTTACCGCCCTGGTGTTATGGGAACAGAAGCCCACCACGGGCCTACCCATTTTCACAGCAGAGGGTCCTGTACCCCATTTCATTGGAAAATCAGCACCCCTGGAGACTCCCTTACACAGGAATGAGAGGGGGGAAGCCATAGCCGCACAAAATCATTTCCAGCCAAGGGCACGCCGGCTCCGTTTTGTCCGGTTCTGAATGAGGCAGCCTCAAACGCCTGCACAATAGCAGCGAGCTGCCCTTCCAGGGGGGGTCTGTCCCTGTTTAAAAGTGTTCCTGGCCTCCTTCAAGAAGAGGAGGCGGCTGTGCATTCAAGCGCACTATTTTCACAAAGGCTTCTGGAGAAGTCTAGCAAATGGCCAGCCCCAAATTATAGGCGCACGGTTTACTGCACGGACATTGTGGACTCGGAGAGCACATAGTATCCCAGCTGTTCCGTTTCTTCATTCACTAGCTAACTCATCCACTGCTCGCTGGCGCTCGCTCTGGTCCTCCAGCATCCAGGGCTGGTTGCCATGGAAACAGCCCGGAGAGGGAAGATGCAAGCAGCTCAGCAAAGGAGCGGATGCTACTGCTCTCCAGCTGACTTTTGAGTTTTCTTTCTTTCTTTCCCCTATAAATTTCCCTTTATAACAAAGAGAAGGGGAAGGATTCAAACTTTCCTGAAGCTGCCACCTTACACCTGAAAGACGCTGCCTCCAAAGCTCATACACCCTAATGGGGAAAAAGAGCCTCCTGTTTCCACATACCCAGAGATGCTTCGTTGCTCATTTTTAAAAAGGTATTTGCAAAGGAAGCGGCTTGTAAAAATTATGCCCTGCTAGTTCTTTTCGACTTTTTTTGTTTGGTTGTTTGAATAAGAAGGGAGCAACGGCATGTGACATGAATTGCATCGCCAAGCGGCCTTGATCACCATTTGTGGGCAGAAAGAGAGCATAGAGTTTTAATTAAGTCCCATATGGTGCTGAATTAAGTAAATCAATTCAGTATTGGATGGAAGGGCAAAGGGAGGGGACGTCTGCCCTTAATCCAGATTGCAAGATATAAAGTGGAGGGGTTTCGTCTTATCCTTCACCATCGTGGCAAAATCCACCCAACGCCTTTTACATGTTGCCACAAACGAGCAGGACAAGAAAATGTCCCTTCTCCTCTCCGTTTTACAATTCTCCAAATTCCTCCAGTCTACTCCTATCCCAGATTATAAAAATATTATTCGGGCGGTTGCAAAATATGTTCTGTTTCTCTCCTCCCCCTCTGGTGCCCCAAGTAAATCCCAGCCACGTTTGCAAAATATTTATGCCATGGGATGTACAGTAAGGGGACAGATGACCAAACCTACTGCCTTGACTGGATTAGGAATTTGCACTCCATTGCAATCTGAATTTCAATCTGCTTTGCTGTGACAGTAGATATTATATCCTTCGTGGCTGTAGTTTAATCTTGCATCTGCAACGTGGCTGACCCATCTTCTCCAGGCGGAGCTCAGAAAGGCAGCCCACCTTCATGGCACCATGAAAATCACTGTCGGGAAGGAGGACAGAGTGTGTAGCTATGCCCCCAAACTCTGTTTTTGAAGCCCACATGCCTCTGCATCCTCTAATAATTCCCCGGCAAAAAAGAAGCAATCTGATGGCAGAGCCAGAGGTTGGGAGTTTGATTCTCCACTCTGCCTCCCCAATAGGGGCTGGACCCGATGATCCATAGGGTCTTTTCCAGTTCTGTAATTCTAAGATGGTGTTGCTGGTGGGTGTTGTGGTTTCCTGCTCTTGGGAGCCTCCAGGAGATGTGGTTCATTTTTAGAATATAAATGCAGGATACCTGCGTTCCACCGGCTAACTTTCGTGGAGCAAATGTCCACTTCGTCCAGCACACACCGATGTCTTAGAATCCAAAAGCTGGATTTTGGTAGGCATTTGTCTTAAACTTAAATATGTGGCAGTTGGTGCTTCCCTTTTTTGACTTCTAGCATTGGGTCGGGTTGGTTGCATTAAGGGTGGCCCAGAATACTGTCCACCAGACCTATGAGATAGCCCACCGCGGCAGGTGTAGACAACATAAAGAGGTGGCAGCACTTTCCAAATACTTGAGAGGTGGTCCTACAGAGGAGGGACAGGATTTGTTCTCAACCCTCCCGGAGTGCAGGACACAAAATAAAGAGCTCAAGCGACAGGAAGCCAGATTTAGAAAATATAGAGCTCAAGCGACAGGAAGCCAGATTTAGGGCTGAATCTCAGGGACGTGGTGGCAGTCGTAAGATCGAATCCACGTGATGGAGTGAGCTCCCGTCGCTTTCTTCCAGCTCCTCGCCAACCTAGCAGTTTGAAAGCATGCAAATGCGAGTAGATAAATAGGTACCACCTCAGTGGGAAGGTCACAGCGTTCTGTGTCTAGTTGCGCTGGCCACGTGACCACGGAAACTGTCTTCAGACAAACGCTGGCTCTACGGCTTGGAAACGGGGATGAGCACCGCCCCCTAGAGGCGGACACGACTGACTAAATGTCAAGGGGAACCTTTACCTTGACCTTTATCTCAGTGAAAATGTCTCAACTGTTAGAGCAGTACGACAACGGGACACGGGACCCCAGGAGGGAGGGAGTGCTCTCATCATTCAAAAGAAAATTGAACAACCGTCTGTGAGGTCTGCTTTGGTTTGTATTCCGGTCTTGAGGAGAGGGTTGAACTCCATGGCCTTTGAGTCCCCTTCCAAGGCCAGTTTTTCTAGGATTCTGGACCGACATATGTCTCGTTGGCCAGACCACCTTGGCGTGTTTCTCCTTGGTCTCTGTCTTTTCGTCCCTAAAAGTGATTGGTGCAGGGTGAACCTCAACCTTCTCTCCTCCTGGGCGCAGGCGTGCTCGGTTCAAACGGTCCAACAGCGTGACGGCCGGGGTGCAAGCGGACCTGGAGGTGGAAGGGCTGGCCGGCCTAGCGGTCTCGACGGAGGACAAGGCCCTTCAGTTCGGCCGCTCCTTCCAGCGCCATTCCTCCGAACCCGAGTCCACCAGGCAATACTCGGTCTACAAGACGGTGCACACCCAGGGACAGTGGGCCTACCGGGAAGACTACCAGATGCAGTACGACACCATGGAAGTGCCACGCCAGGATTCCTGGATGGACCGGGGTTCGCGCAGCCTGCCGGATTCCGGACGCGCTTCGCCGTGCCACCGGGACGGGGAATGGTTCATCAAGCTCTTGCAAGTGGAGGTGGAGAAGATGGAAGGCTGGTGTCAGCAAATGGAGCTGGAGGCGGAGGATTATGACCTGCCGGAAGAAAGTGAGTCTTCAGTTTTGTTGCAGGCCTTGATCCCATCTGGGTCTCCCCTCTTTCTTCTCAAAGGTCTGGCGCTGTGGTTCTCAGGCTTTCCTCCTTGTCTGTTCCACTAAGAACCAGTTAAAGAGTTGGAGGCACCTCCCAGGGTTTCCAGACATAAATATTTATATGATATGTTTAGGGCCTTCTCACTTGTTAAGCATGAAAGGATATGTGTTAAGCCTTACAACTGGATAACTCAAGGGTGGCTGGCCATGGAGCCAGAGGTTGGGGGTTCGATCCCCCGCCACCCCACCCGGCCTCCTTGGGAAGAGGAGCAGAATGTGAGTAAAAGCAGATAAATAAATGATACCACCTGCTTTTAAAAAACCTGTGCATTTAAAGGATAAGATATGTTGGCTGAAATCTTGTTGCGCACCTCTGCGTGAAAAAACCGAGATGAGGTTAATAACAGTGGCCATTTGCTGCTGATTAAAGGAAATTCTGGGGTACATGAGACTTGAGCGCCACACGAGAAAGCGGCGTGCACCTTGGGTCCCTTTTAAGGAGAGAGGCAGGATGGAAATATTTGATATAAATAAACAAAATCATTAAGGAAAGGAAAGCCTTTGATCAGCAGCAATTTGCCCCTGCTAATGACGTATCTCAGATTCGCAGACAGAGCTGTCGCATCTAGTTTGTCTCTGGGAGCTGATAGAGATTCTTCATATCAGATATGTTGTGAGTGGTTCAAATGGAAACTCTTCTGCTGGTGATGATCTCATTTTTTTCTCTCTCTCTCTCTCTCTCTTCTTCTCCCTCCTCCCAAGTCCTCGAGAAGATCCGTAGCGCCGTCGGTAGTGCCCAGCTCTTGATGACTCAGAAAGTACAGCAGTTCTACCGGCTTTGCCAACAGAATATGGTGAGAGGAGTTTCCAATGCACACCTTAGAGGCTTTTCCCATTCCCTTCCTTGTTTTAGGTGGCTTCAAATTTAGCCATAAGTGCTACAAAGTTTTGGATTTCTTAGTAAAATTTCCTTTCGTCGGACAATAGCAGCAGAGAGACTCACAGAGAAGAATAGCTACAAGTTTCCCAGATAGTCCACTCCTTTCTCATTAACTGGCACTCAAAGTTTCAATAACTCACTCTGAGACATTTGGAAGAGAAAGAATAAAAACATCTCTTTACCTACAGTTGCCTGAAATTACAGACTCGCGTTATACTGCTTTCTTTACTGCACACATACTTAGCAACCAACTGAAGAGATCAATAGCAAAGAAACAATTGCTTCCAACAGACTAAAGAGAGGGAAAGAGCACTGATCAGAGGGGCAGGGCTCTCTTTCAATTCAAAGGCTGGAAGGAATGATTGGTTAGTGCTGGTAGATATATTTTACTCTTTTGTCACATAGTCATCTATTTTAACACAGGTATCAAATGAATTTATTTTCAATTGTTTTGGCATATATGAATGACTCTGTCAGTGTAAATTGTGTCTGTGGGGTTTGTCACTCACTGTTGTGCCTTCTGTGCTCCCCCCCCCCTGTTTGTGTGTGTGTGTGTGGTCCTTCACAAGCCTAGAATTCCCAAACCTAGTTAAAATGTCTGGTCAGTTTCACCCCCTGGCTTGGTGTCTCCCTCCTTTACAAGTCTAGTTGGTTTCAGCCTTGTTTTAGCCTTTTTTTGCCCATCTGTCGTTCTGTTTTAGCACTATTTCAGATTGCAAAAAATAAAACATTAGTAAAAAAAAAACGCTGCAAAAAATCCCTCACCCAATTTATTTCGATAGTGTAATCATGTGCTTACTTAGTCTTCATCCAGGTTAATCTGGCTACCTCTGTCTCTGCCCTACAAGTACACAAACTTTGCCAAACTCTACCTTTTTCCTTCCCTCCATCAGGACCCCAATGCATTCCCTGTGCCCACTTTCCAGGACCTGGCCGGATTCTGGGACCTCCTGCAGCTCTCCATTGAGGACGTCAGCATGAAGTTTGCTGAACTTCACCAGCTCAAAGCCAACGGCTGGAAACCCATTGAGCCCAAGGTAAAAGAGAGCGGCATGCAATGAGAGATTCGCAGGGATCTGAGCTGTGTGTTGGGGGGGGGAGGCAGGAATGCTGTGAGCCTTGAAATTCCACGGCTAAGCCATGAACACTCTGCACCAGAAAAAAAGTTTGGAAACATCTGCCCTGTCGTGCTGTCTAATTTATTTTTCTCAGCTGCCTTGGCTCCTTTCAAGAAGAACGGCAGGGTAAAATGTTTTAAATAAATTAAATACTGTAACTACATTTTCTCAGGAAGGAGGATGGTTTAGGTGGAGGGCCAAATTCTCTACAAAGAAGTCTTTATAGGAATCTTCTGGCATTTCGGCTAGCATCACATACATTACATAAATAGTTGTTGCTGCAATGAAGACTAGAAAGTGGTGGCTTTAGTAGAGAAGACGTAGTAGTAGCAGTAATGGAGTGTCCCCGGAATCTTAATTCATATCCAGCATGTTCTTGGACTACAACTCCCAGAAAGCCTGGCTGGCACAGCTAGGAGTGAAGGCTTCCAGGAGTTTTAGCTCAAGAATATCTGGGGACCCAGGGTTGGTAACCATTGCAATAGGGCAGATCTGTGTGTTTGCAAACCCCCCCCCCCATGGGGCAAATCTGTGTGTTTGCACACACACCCCAAGCCTGTTTCTATGAAGATATGGGTCCTACAGAGCCGTGTTTGACACTTCTGAGGGGCAAATAAACATGCCTCTGGGGCCAGATTTTTGGAATTTTGATTTATTTGGGTTTTGGTTTTTCATTTTTCACTTCTGTTTTCCTTTTTGGCCCACCCCATTAAAACTCAAACAGGGAAATGGCGTTCTGCTCACTTCCTGTTTTCTTCCCCATTTTTTTAAAAAAATAACCACATTCTCTGGTGCGTTGGGGTGAAAATTGTGCTGCCCGTATGGCCCAATGGAAGCAGTGAAAGCCCATTGCCATTGCAAGTAAACTGAGGCCCAAACCCGGATTTCACGGCTCTCACAGGAGGTCACTTGCCTTTGTTTGGGGGGGGGCAATAAATTCACGACCGAGTGCAGCGGCTCCTGCTTGGCGAGGTTCATGATCGGAACTCAAAAAAGAACCTGCGTTTTTCTTCTGGCTTGTTTTTGTGACACTCCGTACGGATTTATTTTTGTATTTTGAGATGCCAGTGGAGCCGATCTAAGAAACAAAGCTTCATAGCTACAATGCTAACAGCCCACTGAACACACACACACACACACACACACACACTTTTGGCACCTTACACCCACTCTCTTGGAAATGTTATCAGGGATGCACCAATTTGGGAGCAAAAAGCGTCTCCATCTCATCAACCAAGCTTCTTGCTGTCCTGCCTTTCGCTTCCTTGTCTTCGGTGGCCGGCAAGATCTGATGGACATAAAAGAGAGATGAAGGATGCAGAAAAAACTAACTAGGTTGCTCTCTCACACACAGAGAGAGAGAGAGAGAACTAACTAGGCTGCTCTCTCACACACACAGAGAGAGAGAGAGAGAGAGAGAGAGATCTTTTGAGCAGCACAGCTGGCCAAGGCAAAATAATTGGCCATTTAAAACAAATCTGTGTTCTTTTCATACTTCTTCCCCCCACACACTAAAAAATATACTGGGAACCTCAAAGCATCCTCTTCTTTCTGGAGAAGGGGGGGAGCAGCTCCTGTCTTGGAGGAGATGTTATTGCCAGTTTTAAAAACATTTTTATTTATTATTTAATATTTCCTTCGGTGGGAGGGGGAATCTTGGTGTCATTGCAACCCTTCTGCCATCTTCCTGCAGATATTTTCCCGCGCGGACACCCTTCCCAAGGGGGTCAGGCTCACTTTTAAAATTGTACACGGCAAAGTTCCCTCCAGGGGTTGTGGTCCTTGCCTCTGGTTGGCACCCTTGCGTGCCAACCGGAGGCGATGCCAGAGGAAGGAATCGTTTGATCCACAGCTGCCAAAGGTCTTTTCCGACCAGATGGTCCCTTCTGGATGCCATGCACGGTCCCTGCAAAGCTGGGCGCCTTCTCCCAGTAACTCCTTCCTTCACAACATCCCACAGCAGAAAGATCGGACCATGACCGCAGATCCTTCGCTCCGTTTGGGACCCCTGTGCTGACCCTCTTCCTCACCGGCTCAAACAGCAAGGCCCAAAATGAGGACGCCATTTGTCCGAAGAACCACAGCAACCTCCACACGACCCCACCCCCAACCGGACCCTACTGAGGTCATTCCCTGCGTCCCCTGGTTGATCTGTTCAGCAGCATCCATAACGGAGCCGATCCCTGTCACATTTCAGGCACAAGTTAACCATGTGCGCTTAATGCAGAAAGAGAGAATCGGAACTGTATCTTTGGACTACAGCTCCCAGAATCCCCTAGCCAGCATGGCTTTGCAGTCTGACGAGTCATTTCCCCCAAGCTCTGCCCTGTCCATGAGCATTCTCACATTGCAGTAACGAGGATCCAAATAGCCCTGGGCGGGGAGGGGTGGGAGGGGGTCTCGTTGACCTTTCAGTTCCCCAGAATGCCTCATAACGAGACAAGGCCAAGGGCATTGTGGGAAATGCGAAAGCACGTCTTTTCCTGGATTCATGCCTAATGAACACTCTTAAAGTCTGCATGGTATGTGGGTTCTTCTTCCCCCCCCCCCCCCACAACAGTGGCAACTCCATGCAGAAGAGATGTGTGCCTTCTATCCAGAAAAGCGGTCCTGTTAGCTTCCTCTCAAACTCCAGGGGGAAAAAATGGATTATTTTTTCCAGGGACGGGGACTTGAGTTGTGTGACTTGCAGTCAAGTCAGATTTAAGTTGCACCTGTAACTCAATTCGGGTTTTTTTGGATGGGGGTTTCAGTGACTCAGACTCAACTCCTGACTTGAAGTCCACCCTCCCATCTACTCCTTTTTTTCCTCTGGGAAAAAAGCTCGCTTTTGGGAGGAACTGAGACTTGGGGCTTAGGACTTGGGCTTTGGTACCAAAGACTTGATTTAGGCTTGGGACTTAATACCAAAGACCCAGACTCAGGACTTGATACGAAAGATTCAGACTTGGGACTTGGTACGAAAGACTCAGACTCGGGACTTGGTACGAAAGACTCAGACTCGGGACTTGGTACGAAAGACTCAGACTCGGGACTTGGTACGAAAGACTCAGACTCGGGACTTGGTACGAAAGACTCAGACTCGGGACTTGGTACGAAAGACTCAGACTCGGGACTTGGTACGAAAGACTCAGACTCGGGACTTGGTACGAAAGACTCAGACTCGGGACTTGGTACGAAAGACTCAGACTCGGGACTTGGTACGAAAGACTCAGACTCGGGACTTGGTACGAAAGACTCAGACTCGGGACTTGGTACGAAAGACTCAGACTCGGGACTTGGTACGAAAGACTCAGACTCGGGACTTGGTACGAAAGACTCAGACTCGGGACTTGGTACGAAAGACTCAGACTCGGGACTTGGTACGAAAGACTCAGACTCGGGACTTGGTACGAAAGACTCAGACTCGGGACTTGGTACGAAAGACTCAGACTCGGGACTTGGTACGAAAGACTCAGACTCGGGACTTGGTACCAAAGACTCAGACTTTGGTACCAAAGACTTGGACTCCGATTACGGAGTTGGAGCCAAAGACTCACCAGCATCCCTGGCCTTCTTGGGATGAGTCTTTCCTAATTCCCCAGGCCGGTGTGGCCGGCTAGCCCTATTGTTCTGGGGGATTTTGTTACCGAAAAAGAGCAGAAATTTCCAAAGCTCTGGAATTTCGCTCTGCCTTCCGCAAGGCCCTCCCTTGCCCCTCAGCCCTTCTCCTCTTCGTTTTTCCACCCCAGGAGGAGACGAAGGTGCCTCCCCCGATACCAAAGAAGCCGCCGCGCTCCCGGCTGCATCCGGTGAAGGACCGCTCTCTGGATTCCGTCGACCGGCAGCGCCAGGAAGCCCGCAAGAGGCTCCTGGCAGCCAAGCGGGCTGCCTCTTTCCGCCAGAGTTCGGCCACCGAGAGCGCGGACAGCATCGAGATCTACATCCCGGAAGCCCAGACCAGACTGTGAGCAGACGCCCTTTGGTGTAAGGGAGTGTGCAAGCTATCAAGTGATACAGCACACTTCAGGCAGTAGGAAAGGGGAGGACGGGTGGGTTGCTCTGTTCAGGCCATCAAATGAACCGTTTCCGATTCACCCCGAAACTTAATGCTGTTAGTAGAAACAAAAAAAAAAATGATAATTTTTTTTAAAAGAACAACTGCAATCCATGGACCTCACACCAGACAAGACATAAAAACTGGACCTCTGGTTTTCACGCATCACTCTTTGCAGGATTTGGAAGGCAACCAGCTTCCACTAATTTTGCTCCATCCAGACCGCCTGCCCTCCACCCTCTTTCCGGTCCTTGGACTCTCTTCTTATAACTTCTGCCCACCCCCCCACCCCCCAGGCTCCGTTGGTCAGCCTTGTCTCTCCTCACCCTGTTGCTCCACCTCTTTCCATGAGCTTCCCTCACTGTCCTGCAGGCTCGGGGCCCCTCATCAAGAACCCTGACACCCTACATCATCCACGGGTTCTAGGCTCATCTAGGATATATATATATATATGTAATTATATATGTATATGTACTTCTATAATTATAATCAAACGGGCAAAAACAAAAAAAAATATGCCCGAGACCACAGCTGTGTTTCTAATGGCGAGAGCCTTCTCGTCTCCTCAGGAGACCCCTCTCAACCTCCTCCCTCATCAGCCGTCCGCTCGCCAGCACCTTGTGCGCACAAAACCTACCGAGATTACTCTCTTCCCTTCCTCCGCCACATCCCCCACATGTTCACCCAAATGGGTCAAGCGTGGAGAGGTGACACTGCGCTGCCTGGTCTTGGAAAAAGCTGGTGTCTCTCTTCCCCGGGGAGGGGGTGTGGGAAGAGACATGGAAATCCGTTCCGGCTTTCAACTGGAAGTTTATAGGAGAGCTATCAGAGGCATTGACCTTGTGGGGTTGTGAGTTTTGGGGGGGGTGAGGGTGGGGGAAAGGAGGATTCATTGCTTGGATAACTCCTGTAAAGTTCGGAGTGAAACCAGGCATGGATTCCCTGCCCTCCACAAACGCACCTCAGACGGGAGTCAACGGCCCAGAAAGCTGGTAGGAGAGATGTGGTCTGCAAAGCTGCGGAAGCATGAGTACCTCTGACTCGCATGAGCCTGCATGTTGGCTTTGGGGGGGGGGTGGATCTTGGCATGTGGAACCGGTTTTGTAAGGAATGGCGCATAGACCACAACTGCTGTCCTGGAGAGAATGCCCCCCTCCAATTCATCATCCTTTGAGGTGCAGAGTGTGATGGGGGGCTTCCCCAAGGATGGACGGCTTGTCCCGTGGCATCCGCGAGTGAGCAATCCCCTCCAGAAGTCATGGGTTCACCAGCCTTAGCCCTTTTTTCCCCCTCCTTTATTTATTTTGGGGCTTCGTTGTTCACGAAAAAGTGCTCAAAGCTTTAGGGATTCAGAGGAGAGCGAACACAATGAAAAAAAAAAGAGGAGATAAATTGTCAGAGGAAAGGATGAACCAAGGGCGAGGAACGGCAGGCTCTCTGTGTCCCAACACTAGCCTCCAAGTGTCGCAACCCGACATGGTTCCTCAGAAAGGCACACACCCCCTTTTGACAACGTAATTGTGTGCTGGTTGTCCAGCCACGCTTGGTGTTTCCCTCCCAGAAGACTAAAATATCTATCCTAAGGCTTAATTATACTAAGTTCCTTCAATAACTAGGCTTAATCACGGAAACTAAAAGATGCACCTTCACTCCCTCCCCTCTTCCGTCTTGTTTTGGTCCCACTTAACTGAAATAATAATATTCTTAGAACTGCAGAGCCGGAAGGGACCCTATGGGTCATGAAGTCCAGCCCCTGCCAAGGAGGCCTGGGGGGGGGAGGAATCGAACTCCCAACCTGATGCCTCAACCATTGAGCTCTATTCATACCTCAAGACAAAATATATTCCCTCAGTCTTGGACTGAAGGAGGAGCTTGAAATGTTTGACTCACAGCCATGGGTTTAAGAAAACGACACCTTCTTTTCTCGAGAACTTTCCATGTTGACGTCTCCACCATGGAAGCCCAACCCATCTTGATACGAAATTATCCCCAAGTACACATTGGTTACCCCCCCCCCAATGCCCCATCTTCAGTTCAGACTATTCCTTAGCTCTAGCATCCTCCAGAGATCTGGGACTCCAGCTCCCATTATTGGTTGTGCTGGCCTATGCTGGCTGGGGATGACGGAGGTCTAGTCCAATGCTTTCAGGAAGGTGCCGGCAGGAGGGAATAGGGAGGGCATCCTAGCCCGGCATTTCCCAGCCATTGAGAAGGAAGATGAAGTTTGCTAACCAGGCAGACTTTCAGCAAATCACACCTGCCTTTACCTGAGCCTCTGTCTTGTTAAGGAGCCCCCAAAGTTCACAGAAAACAGAAAGACCCCAGATTTACCCAAAATAAGATGAACAGAACTGATTTATATATTTGCTCTATTTCTCCTCCGAACATTAAAAGGGCATCTGTCCGAAGAGAGATGGTATGCTGAGAAATGAGAGTTGTAGTTCAAAAAAAAAAAAAGTAACTTATCCAAGCTCTAGGAAGAACGAGAGGTAAGAAAAAGCTCCTGAGGATCTCAGTGGTTTGGGTCCCTAAGGAAGGCTGGTTCTTATATAACATCAAAGCGACTTGGCTGACTCTTCCTCCTTTGATTGACCCTTTATTGCCCCGTCCCATTCTATTGTAGTGATGCACAAAAAACGTGGGGGCGGAGATGGCCAAAGAAGAACCACAGCAGAGCCATAGGTGAGATCAGAAAAGGCATGGTTGACCTAGTTCCTAGGGCAACAGTCATAAATTTGTCCTGTGTTCTCCAGCCCTAGAAGAAGGTGCCTCTGACTTACAGTGGGTTGCTGAGGGACATCTAGCAAAGATTTGGGCCCAACCTTACATGGCCATTGTATTGTCCTACATTCTGCTGTACATCAGAGAAGCTCATTGTGGTTCCTCTGCTTTGATGTGTGCGTGTTGTCCTCTAAAGCCATGGTTCCCAACCTTGGGTCACTCAGGTGTTCTTGGACTGCAATTCCCAGAAAGCCTTCACCACCAGCTGTGATGGCCGGGGTTTCCAAGAGCTGCAGTCCAAGAATTCCTGGGCGACCCCAAGTTTGGGAACCACCGTCCGAAAGGAAGGATGCCAGATTATACAGGGCAGTCTTGTCACACCCCGGCTCATTGGCTCTGCTAGTTAGAGGGGGTGAGAGCTGTAACTCAAGACATCTGAAAGACATGAGGAAGAGTAGAGTAGATGGTCAGTTGAGGGTCTTCTGACTCTATGGATGATTTGTTCCTGGACCGGGGCAGGGGGTATTTTTCAATCCACATCAAGACTAGGTCAGTGTCTCACCAGAGGAAAAAGTAGTTGGAGGGGAAGTAGCTAGGAGGAATCGGTGAGAAAATTTGTCCCTGTTTTTTTTTAATTCTTTACTCTTATTCATTTTTTCCCTTTCTACTATGGAGGACAGGGGGGAGGATAAGAATTTCTCAAAATTTGGGGGAAAAACAACAACAAAAAAAACAATTCTTTATATTCGGGATGGAAGGAACCTGGATTTTAAAAATCTGTGTCCATCAAAAACCCAGGGCTGTGAGCACTTAACTTTAAAAAAAAATCTGTGAATTCCTGTGTATTAAACCATACTAATGCTAAATGGGGGCTCTCACCTTTCTTTTTCCCTCCCGACAGGCGTATCCTTTTCAACTCCTAAATGGCAGGCACAACTAGCGTGGGTTGGGTCCTGGGATGGCTTGTGCCTCAGCCAAAATGTGGGGCCCCGGGCTATGAGCTGACCTTGCTAGACCCTCTTTGAGGTGACATCAACATGGGGGAAACCCTTTGAGCGTGGAGAGGAGAGAAAGATGGTGCCGATTTTGGGAAGTCAAGAGTGGGGAGAAAGAGACCCAACAACCATTAATAATCATCAAGTGTCGTCAAGTAAGTCTTGACTTATGGCCAACCTTTCCAGGGTTTTCTAAGTAGAGAAGACTCAGAAGTGGTTTGCCCTTCTCATCTTCTGGGGTTGCCCTAGGATTGTGCAGCTTGCCTAAGGCTACACAGGCTAGCTCTTCTCCCAGGATGCACGGTGGGAAAACAGAACTCCCAACCAACTCACTGAGCGGTGGGGAAACAGAACTCCCAACCAACTCACTGAGCTATCCAGCCAGCATAATTTTGTCCCGTCAGGTCAATTCTGACATATGGCAACCCCTTTTTTTTCAGAATTTTCCAGGTAAGAAGACTCAGAAGTGGTTTGCCCTTCTCATCTTCTGGGGTTGCCCTAGGATTGTGCAGCTTGCCTAAGGCTACACAGGCTGGCTCTTCTCCCAGGAGGCCCAGAGGGCAATCAAACTCCCAGCCCTCTATTTTAGGAGGTGGGTGGGGGAAAAGATGCTGAATATGGGGTAGAAGAAAGAGTGCCTTTTCATATTATTGCATCGAATTAGGGAAAGTTACGTATTTGTGGTTATCATGCTGAAAAGAAGAGGGAGGAATCCTGTTTCAGATGCCCTGCAGGCATGGACCCATCCTCACTCTTCCTATATCTTCATCATCCTCCCGGTTCTAGTCCTGAACCTCTCCTGCGTCCAGCCTCCCAATCCACACCGGTCTGCCTCTTGCACCCTCCAGTTAGAACCATCCCAAGATGACAAACCGATGCCTTATAGCGCAATGCAACACTGCCCTCTGCTAGCCAGCGAAAAGTGCTGCAGGAGACAAGCCAGTTTTCCCTAACCTGCTGCCCTGAGGATGGGTTGAATTTAAATTCCTACCGACTTTCCCCAGCTGTTGATCCCTCTAGGGCACCAGGTTGGGAAAGGCCACCTTCTGCCTTACAACCTGGCCTTCATTCCAGCCCCCTAGGCACATCAGCTCTCACCGGATTTCAGAAGCTAAGGAGGGTCAGGCTTGGTTAGGGGTTGGATGGGAATGCCAAGGATCTTAGGCTAGGGCTAGGGCAGAATGTGGCTTGAAACCCT